ATATGCTAATTGATTGACAACTAAGCAAGGTTACTTTTTAATTAATACAAACTTGAGGTTACATCTTTTCAAATGTTTCTCAATTAATATATAGGGGATATATTTTTAAGAAGAAATTCAAAGTGACGTACCTTTGAAAGGTATACACATTTTTATACAAACTTCAAAATCCATACACGACTAAGCATGCATTCTACGTACTAAGTGCGACTTGAAGGGTTTGATTTGCACATTGTTGTAAATGAATGGTAAAATTGTAAAACAAAACCAACTGTTTTTTTTTTTTTTGCAGAAAAAACTAGATATCAAATAATACTTTGTACAAACTATATATTTGTTCTGGTAATAATTTTTTTTCTGAAAAGATTGAAAAAATATTTTTCATTATTAATTTAAACAACTTATCAAATATTATTTTCTTCAAAACAAATTATCAAATATTACACGACACACAATATAGGTTTAGCAAGGGAAGACGACCTATTTTCCCACAAGAACTATGGCATAGTAATAAATGTACACAAAGTTTCGACCTCGAAGTAATTACACACCACATAAGTATAACAACACTCTTCCACATACGATGAAAGTTCGAAACCCGTTTCCCCCTAAACTTTGAAAATTGAACCAATATCAACAAATAACGGTTTAAAATTGGTTAGTGTTTCCTAAACCTAAACTTAACCAATAACTAACTCACCTAAACCAAAAAAATACCCGATTATGACCCGTTTACAGATTAAAAACCTGACTAAATCAACCTAAACCAAATTAAAAAGAAACTCTAAAATATCAATCTCTTACGCTTGAAAAGAACGTCGTTGCTCCTCTACATCGTTTCTCCTCTGATTGTCTTTGATTCTCTCCGATTGTTTCCAGACAGATAATTTCGACATCTCTCTCTCTCTCTCTCTCTCTCTATCTATCTCTCTCTCTCTCTCTCTCTCTCTCTCTCTCTCTGTCTGTCTCCATCTCTCTCTCGTTATTGGACTATCTCTTTGTCTCTCAGTGTCTCTCTGTTTTGACTATGTGTCTCTTTGTTTTTAAGGAATCAACAATGGAATCATGGACTGATGTGAATGTAGAGTGGAATTATGTATGGGGACACCTGATTATCCTGATATTGCTACAAAATCTCTTTCTGGATTTTTTATTTTATTTTAGGGTTCTAAAGTCATGAACTCAATTTTGAGTGTTTTAAAGGGGATTCGGGTTGGATTTAAATCGATCCATAGTCGGATCTTTATCTGGGTCGAGTTGTACCGATACTAACTGGTTTACGTTGAGGTCGAAACTTTGTATACATTTATTACTATACCATAGCTCTTGTGGGGAAATAGATCGTCTTCCCCAAAAAAAATCAATAAAATAGATTAAATTATACATATTTAAAATTAGATTGGGCCAAGCCCAATGAAACATTGATCGTGCATCCAAAATTTTATAGTTTTTCTGCATATACCCAAATTATAAAACTGTATTATATAAGTTTCTATAAACTGCATATACCTTAAAGATCCAGAAGCAGTGGTCAAGGTTGACCAGTTTTCTAGACCTGTTTGTTGGATTCTTCCTGGCGAAGTAGAATCGACGGCACAGCACAGACAAAGGTCTGCTTGGACCCTTTCTTCTTTCTCGACATTTGGATCCCTCTCCTTGTCCCAATTGCTAATTGTTTTTTATTTTGGTGAAAATTGAAGGAACTACTTTGACTCTTGGTGGTAGGGTTTCATTTCATATAAATTAGTCGGAGAGAGAATTTTGTATTCTTAGATTAAAAATTCACTCTTTCCCGATTATCAACGTGGATCTTGCTCTCGATTCCTTTTTGCCCACATTTTTAAATATTATTAAATGTTTTCTCTTTCATAAACTATTTAGTGACACATTTCTCTTATTATTATGTTTTGTATGTTGCAGGCTGAAGCATTTTTTTGTGAGTGCTTTCACTAAATCGATATGGTATTAAAGTCTGCTACTTTATGAGTTATCTTTTCTTCTGTTGCATTTGTTCTTTTTATTTTAAGTTTCTGGAAATCAAATCTTGCAGGGTGGGGGAGGCTCCGAAGAAGAGCATATACTGTTTCCAAAACACGAGACTTTAGACTTCAAAGACACTCTTATTGTGGTATATGTTGTTTTAGCTTTTCTATAAGACAACGTAAAACCTTCACTCTTGTCTACATGTTATTGTCTGCCTGATTACTTGCAGTAGTGGTGGTTTCAGGAAAAGGTTCTTATTTGTTGTTCCCTACTGTTGATGTGCAGGACAATGCTGCTGCTATTTCTACTACAAGTCACGTGAAGTCAACGCTGATTGAGATGGGATTCAACTCTTCTCTTGCTCAGAAAGCAATTGATGAAAATGGTTTTGGCGAAAAGGCTATTGTGCATGCTAACGTTATTATCAGCAGGAATGTTTTAAAATTCTGAGGTTACTACTTGTTTCACATGATGCAGGGGTAGATGATCTTGAATTGTTGGTAGAGATTCTCACTAAGACTACTGTAACACAACCTATTGATGAATCCAAACAGGTATAACGTGTGATGATGCTTCTGTCTTGTATGTTTTCTTTGTCGGTTTTATTCTTAAATTTCTTCTTAATTACCTTTTGACAGGAGCCTGATGATATTCAACATGGAGTTGATGGCAAAAGGATGCAGCTGCTAGCAATGAAGTTCCCGGAAAATCTAGTTGACTTTGCACTAAGTAGACTTGGTAATGTATTCAGTTCACAATGAAATCCATTGTTCGGATAGTGCTTAAGTGTCAAAGGCATTGCGTGTCTGATTATATTTGGAAATTCCTTCCATATGATTTTTCTTTTAGAAATTATGCTTAGTTTATGTGATAAATTTTGCATGCAGAGCTCCCACTTGGCATGCCTTTCTTCATAATTGTCAAATTTTTTGTGTGTAATAGGTAAAGATGTGCCAATGGATGAGACTATAAACTTCATCATAGCTGCTCAATTAGTTGCAGAAGATTCCGAAGAATTACTTGATGGTAGTACTGAAACCAAAAGAGAAGATGAGATGGTATTTGTTTCACTACCTTCATTTTGTTAGTCATTCATTTATCTTTATTGTTCTTATTGCTAACCGTAATGTCATGTTTTACATCTAGGTTCTCAGTGAATTACCACTTGACAAAATAGACAAAACTTCGCAACTGTTGGAAATGGGATTCTCTCGTCAAGAAATCTCTGTGGCTATTGAGAAGATAGGTGAGCAGCTTAGGAAATTAGATGTTCATTCAGTGTATGGAATGTGAATGAGAGAAGCACTGAGTCGCTGACATGATCGTCTGACATTTAAATCGTTAGGGATACATAACCTTACTTTGCTCCTCTTCAGGTAAAGAAGCTCAAATTTCTCACCTCGCTGAGTTAATCATAACTGGTGAAGTTCCTGCTGACGTTGAAGATATAGAAAAGGTGTGTTACTTTGTATTATGTACTATAGACTCACGCACTCAAATGATACTCACCTTGAAGCACAATTCTGAAACTAGAGAGTTTACTACTGCTACATTACCGAAACCATCTCACTCTCTTCTCCTAATAATGTTAAGATATTGTTGTTGGAGCTGTAATCAATGACGTATGGTGTCACTGCAGAAAGTTTCAGCTATTCCTTCAACAACTCGTGCATGTCCTTCTAAGAGTTGGAGATTTGTTGGTGTTGCTTCCCAGGAAAAAGATTGTGGTGAGGGTTCCTCAAGTGGTATTGCCAAGGTGGAAGAGAGATCAGTGAGTAAAAGAATAAAAGTTGAAGATGACAGAGAGACTGACTTTGATAACAGAGGGAAACGGCTAAGACCTGGATACATGGGAGGCTCAAGATCAGTTATAGAAACACCAGGGATGCAAGAAGAAGAGTCGATTGAGAGTTTGTCCACACTTCGTCCCTCAAATGTAGCCAAGCGACCTTATGTTTTCTATGGAAACATAGGTGAACTATCTCCTCAGCAATGGTCTAAGATCTCAGGTTTCTTCTTCGGCATTCAACCTGAGCATGTAGATACTCGGTTGTATTCTGCGCTCTGTAGAAAAGAAGGTTACTTCCACAATCTTCCCATTGAAAACCGATTCCCTATACTCCCTAAGCCAAGTCAGAGTGCTCCAAGCATCATCTCACCTGAAAATCTGGAGCGCGTTATGGGATATCCACCAAACCACACGAATATTGGTGGTGCAAGGTCGGCTGAAAGATTGAAGCTGCTTGATTATTGCTTCCAAACGGACACGTTGGGTTACCATCTCTCTGTGCTCAAGCCTTTGTTTCCCCAAGGGTTAACAGTTCTATCACTATTCAGTGGAATTGGTGGTGCAGAAATCGCATTAAACCGTCTTGGGATCCATCTGAAAAGCGTGTACTCTGTTGAACCTTGTGGACTGAGCCGTAACATACTGAAGAGATGGTGGCAGACTTCAGGACAAACAGGAGAGCTTGAGCAGATTGAAGATATAAGGATCTTAAGGGCAAAGAAGCTAGAGACTTTGGTGAAGAGATTTGGGGGCTTTGACTTGGTCATATGTCAAAACCCACCAACACCACTTGATCTCTCTAAAGAAAGCTCAAGAAGCCAAGGATGCAAGTTTGACTATATGTTGTTCAACGAGGTTGTTTGTGTCTCAAAATGTGTTAAAGCTTTGATGGAGTCTTAGTTGATAAACAACACTTGTATAAAAAAGTAAGGCTAAATATGTTTTGGTCCAAAGTATTGAGATAATGTAGATTTGTCATTTGTATTGTGACTTCATTTACATTCATGACCCGTTTCTTAATCCTTATATTATACAAGATGACTCTTCTCTCTAGTCTTGAGAGCTATCCAGAAAGTTAGGTGTCAAAATGATTGGTCTCAAATTCTCAGTAATGAAAACCTTCTACATGGAGACAGCGAGGGTGGAAACCAAGCCACCAAAGCCGCATATGTTACGGCCTTTACATATCTTATAGAAACCATCCTCACCCCAAGTTTCTCCCCATGAGTTTTTGATGATCCAATATGGCTTCTCCTTAAACCTTGACTTAGCTGAGCCATAACCCACCAACAACACACCGTGGTTGAGACTCCTTGAGCACATGTAAGGACACGAAACTCCTCCAATGTAACTTTGCATGTAAGCTGAATTGATAGCCACTGCAAGAAAAGAAAATCCAGAACTCAGATTTAGATTTAGTCAGTGGAATGGTGTGAGGTTGGAAAGTTATTATTACCAGCTAGAGGACCGTTCTTGACGAGATTTGCAGCGATTTGATCTTCGTTGGTAGAGACAACACTGACGTTGAACACAGAGGCAACAGTCTTAGACTTGTCTAACTTGCAGATCCCATCACCAGCAGTAGTTCCTGTGTAAGGATAGTCTTCCTCTCTCATGAGCCCTCCGGTTTGGAGAGTGTACTCAAAGGCGGTGTTCATTAGCCCACCGTTGCAACCAGAGTAACATAAATCTCCCACTCCTGGATCACACTACATACAAAAGAAAGAGGATAGGCCAACCCCTTTGTTGGTTATGTGAGCTTCTGAAATGAATCGAAGTCTCTAACCTGGTGATCACAATCAACAAGCTGTTGTTCACTGAGACTGACGAGTTTACCAGTGGCTAGGAAGTGAGCACCTTCAAGCGCACCTGTAGTGCTGAAACTCCATGAAGATCCACATGATCCCTATGACCAATCAGACAAAAACAAAATCAAACACCATACATTGTCCACTTTCATCATCATCACCTTCAAAACCATATATACCTGATTCTTCACTGGAGTAACTGCGCCGTGATCTCTCCAATCAAAATCATCAGGAAGATTCTTTGTAGGGAGAATAGGGGCGGCTTGATCAGCGTGCTGCTGCAAAAACTTATACGCACTTTTCACCCCCAAGTGCGTTCTTCTGAACTCATAATGCTTCAGATCAGAAAACTGAGTAACACCATGTTGAGCAAAAGGATCCATCCTCTGGTGACGAGTCGCTCTTATAAAGTTACTTCTGAAAATTGCGAACCTGTGTTGATGCTCCTCAAGAGAAGTGTAAACCTTGCCGTATCTCTTCTTGAACAGAGTAAAGTGATCCTCCCACGACATATCTTTTGGCTCAGTTTCTGATCCGTTAACCACTTGCCGGATCAGAATATCGTCTCTGTGTTGTTTCTCACAAACCGAAACAGAGATGAAGAAGAGAAAGAGAAGACAAACCGAGAAGATAACCCTGAGATGATCCATCATGAGTTTCGAAAGCTGAGAAAAGTTTATGTAGGAGAAACTCTCAGGTTTCTGACACATACATTTGTAGGTTTGTAATTTAAAATTTCCCGGGAGAATGTTAGCTGGCACACGCACATATGAGAGTCTGCTTCTTTGTTGGTTAGGTGATTCACTGTTATGGGTTAGATTTTCAACATGCTATTTTTGCTGTTAATCCGGTCCGTTTTTTTATAGCATAGTATCAATTCAAATCCTCATTTTGTATGGTTCTATCCGGTAATAAAAGCAAAAATATGTTTTCTGGAAATAAAAAGATCATTGGAGAATCAAGAACAGTAACATGAAAAACAAAACGTTAATAAGAAAACAGACATTACAAGTCTCAGGACTGGAACCATCTTCTGACTTGACCGGAACTCTGTTTCTGTGGACCGGTTTTGGCTGAGCTCTGCGTGAACTTAGACCTGTACTGCTCAATCAACATATCGAGCTTGTCCACAACCTCAGGGGGTCCACCTTGCTTCTTCTTTTTCTCGTTTTGATTCTTTCTCTTCCTTTGCCCGTGTACACTCTCTCCACCTCTGACCTCCTCAAACGTTCTCTTTCTTGGCGCATCATCGCTCACATCTTTGGATATCTTCTTCTGATCTGGTTTCTCAGTGGCCTCTTGCTGTCTCTTCTTCCATTGGCCTTTCTGGTTTGAAGCCGTTTCTTTAACCGAGAGACTGCTCTTCTCCTCTGGTTTTGATTCTTCTTTCCTATGTTCACGTGGGCGCATAGGTTTCCTCTTCTTAAACCCGTTTGCATTCTCTTCCATTGGACCAGTGTTATCCCCATCCCTCGTTCTTCGTTTTAAATCATTGCCAGGATGATTGTCCTCTCCCTGCGCCTCGCTATTCTCCCGCTGCTCCTTAGATTCATTGTATCTATTGCGTTGCTGCTGTTGGTTTGCTTTGTGTACCTTCAGCTTCTGGACGTTATCAACAGCAAATTCTATAACGGGACGGTGTTGAGGACCAAATGTCTCTGCGTATAAAAGCCAAAACCGATGATCGTAGTATGAGATTTTGATTCTCGGATTTTACTGAATACTATATATTAGGATTCAGCAATATCTTTACCAGGATTGTTGTTTAGTACTCTCAGGGCGACAAGAGCATGGTCAGGCTCTGTGAACTCGACAAACGCAACTCCACGCGAGTAGTTCTTCGTATCAACTTTACCCTTCTTCTCGTTTTGTAAGAACTTGATCTGCATCGAAAAAGAAACAAACCAGATTCAGATAATAGAACTATTAGCACAAAGGCGGCGGATATGTGACCTGTCGGATAGTTGGCTTCTGCTTTGTAGCTCGTGAGGTAACAGCATCAACTAACAGCTTCTGTAACTGCTTTTCATCCATGGACTTTGGTAAATTATAAATGACAATCCTCGTTTTAGATACATGGAAGTTAGGAGACTGAAGCTTTTTCATCTTGTTTTCATGCAATCTGCAAAGCGCAACCACACATTATCAGTTACCTCTTATATCCCTTGGCAGTAACATGCATATATAAGAAAGTACAAAAAGGTTTACCTTCGTCGCCTGTCCATGTCTTCGGCAGAAACACCTTCAGCAGCAGGTGTACCTTCAAGTATCTGACCTTCCTGTGGAAATCAAAATGGTATCAATATTAGTGAATGCTAATTCTGATTTTTTTTCCCAGAGATTTCGTGAGGACTGAGAGGAGTGTGAACCTTAGCAAGATAAAGATTCCGATGGTCAATATTCTTCTCCTTTGTCTTTTCGAGTCCTATGTCCTTTGCAGCTTTTTTATCGACAGCCCTCATAACGCTCAGTTGCCTTCCTTTAAGAAGGACACCGACACCTGAGTCAGTACTGGCTGCTGAAATAGCTGCATCTGATGCATCTGCTGTTTTGAACTTGAGAAAAGCGGTCCCTTTTGGTCGTCTGAAAAAAAAACAACAGATAGACAAAAATGTGAAGCTGTGGCTTATGGAGAAGCAAGAGCCTGGATTTGTTTGTATGATTGAATGTATTAGAAGGATGCTTACTTTGTGACTGGGTGGAGAACTAGGAATAGAGATTCTACTTGCCCGTATAAGGCAAACCTCTGTGTGACTTCTTCCTTGCTAACATCAAACGGGATGTTGCTTATAAATACAGTTCTCTTAAAATCATCATTTTCCTGCGTTTCTTTTGGAGTCGCCTCTTTGTTTTTACTGGATTTCAAAGGCTCAGAGGCCGCAGAAGATTCAACGACAGGCTTAGTTGATGAATCCTCGAGTTTGATTTTATCTGACTCCTCTGTCTCTCCATCATGAGAAGCAATAGTTACTTTTGAAGATGCAAGCAAGTTCTTTAGCACCTTTCTCGCAACATCGGCCTCCTCTTCAAAATTCACATCCGTCTCAGTATCTTTCTCCAGTGCATCTGATTCACTCGGTTTGTTACTGCCGTCCTCTTCCTCGTCAGCAATATCATCTCCTGAAGATTGGTGGCTCTCTACAGCATCATCAACCTCCTCCAAATCAACACTACTGTTATCACTGTCCCCATCACTTTCATTTTCTTCACCTGCCAAAATTGACGCCCAAAAGTATGAATGTTATGTTAAGAAGAGGTAAAAACAAAACTTCGCCCATCGCCAATGACTGGCTTCAATTTCTTCTTGTCAATAATAAATTACCATATCTCATACACAAAAGAACTACAAAAAGTTTTCAAAAAATTATGGTAAACTTACCATCTTCTGGAGCAGTGGCGGCGTCAGCAGCACCATTATAGAGATTCTTAGGTACAGCCCAGTCAACAGCTATAGGTCTTTTACTGAACATGTGCCCATTGAACTTTTGTATTGCCTGAAGATGCAAAAATAAATAAGACAAGTGATCTGAATGGAAAATGACCAACTAAAAATAACCATGTTTCTAGATCTTACATTTTCTGCATCTCTCTTACACGTGAATTTGACAAATGCAAAACCCTTAGGTAGCCTGCCAAAAACAAAGTAAATGAGAATAGTGTACAATCATCAATTCATTTATCAATAAAACCACCCAGACGAGTTAGAACATACCCAGTTTCAATATTTTTAGGAACAAATACATCCCAGACAAACCCTACTGCTGAGAAAACCTCTTTGATTTCACTAGGTTTAGCCTGCATAATCCAAAAGAAAATTAATGAGAAAAACATACATAGTTTATTGTATGAAACTGTAGAAATAACCAAAAAAAGTCCAGGTTATAATAACCTTGAAAGGAAGATTTCGGATAATAAGTTTCCACTTCTGAGCCTTTGATCCCTGCCTCCAACAAAATACAAAGAGATCACAAACTGTTCTGAATGCTTATCAGTTAACTTTTTACATCAATGAAAAGCAAATAATGCTCACCTCCCCACCGAGCTGACGCGCCCAAATGAGGTTTCCCTTTATCTCTGTCTGATGTAGTGTTGCAACAGCAGCACAAGCAGATTTGACACTTGTAAAGAGAACAGCTGATGCTTCTGCCCTGCATCCGTCCTGAGTAAGACCTGACAAGAAAAATAGTTCTTACGCTTAATGAACGCATCATAAGCAAAAAAAAAAACTGGCATGGTTTTCTTAGAAAATCACATAAGCTGATAAATATATTCTCAAAGTAGGAATTAACAAGTGGATAGGGTGTCTATCAAACTTTCAGATACCAGAATTATGACGTGATATATATACTATTTATGTAGACAAACGTGTGTACTATATCAAAATATATAAAAATAAGTATATCGATGAAGTAACAAAATATAATGAAGTCACAAGACATTGAAACTGGAGTCAACAAGCACCAAAAGATAACCTATTAAAGGAAACCATGAGCAGGAGAAGCATTTCAACATCAATATTCCAAAATTTAACCTCATATTTTATGCATATTCTCACTGCCAAGGAATTTTGATATGGCTAATATAATCTAGTAATTAATGGAGATTCATGTCCCAGTAGCGTTACTTAAGACTCGTCATTTTGTGTGGTGCCTGGAATAACAATGTCGTTCTCTACTACACAGAAACCTAGCTCAAGCAGCTCTGATGGATAACTTGACATCTAACTCATATGTTAACATGATTTACTCAAAAAAAGGTTGTACTAACAGATATAACTAAGAACCTTGGTCGGGGTCATGCAAACAAGCATTTACAAGATTCTTACCATTTTGTTGAAGCTCCTCTTTGGGGAGGGGATATCTGACGGAGCACACAGTACCAATCTCTTTGACACGACTATGTACTGCCTCTGCCATCTCAGCATTGACAAGGCCACCAAAGATTACAGTTCTTGCAACTCTTCACCCAACGAAAAAAAAGACACAATCAAAACGAGGAGGCAACATAAAGAGAATTAGGTGTTTTTCAAATACTTTAAACATGCATAATCTCAATAAGATAGTCTTCCTTATCAAAAGTTATATATATATATATATATATATATATACAAAAACATATTATAAGCTCATACCTTTGCTTGTCTGAACAAGTCTCTTTATCAGCTAAATCAACAAGAAGCTTTGTAGGTTTTTTGCGCTCAACTGGCTTCTCTATTTTTTTCTCAGGTGGAGGAACTGATGCAGCAAATACAAATGTATTGATAAAAGAGAGACCAAACAAAAAACTTACAAAAGACTCGGAAACCCAAATCAAGGCAAACTTATACCTTTCTTGTTTGTTTCAGTCTCAGTCTCAGGGATTAAACTCTCCTTGTCGTCACTCTCTCCTTGGGAATTATCAGGTAACGCGGTTCCTAATTCGAAAAAGAAATACTAATTGGAATAACAGATTCCAAAAGTTTACAACAACAGCAACCAACCAACCAACCTTGGGCTGCTTTAGTACGACGTTCTTTAAGAGAAGGGCGATGCGTGGCTTGTTTAACAGTAATCCTACGGCCTCCAACAGTAGAACCGTTCTTTAACTCAATGGCACGGTTAGCATCTTCTGGCAAAGCACTACAAAAAGACCCATTATGTATAAACACTAG